TCCTGCTGCGTGACAGATGCAACTGTACTTACCTAAATTGCTTCCAGTTCCTCCATCATATATATTACATTACTTTTCTAGAAATTAAATGTACATTTATACTCATTAATGGTAAGAAAATAAATCTATGGGGGAAATAAATTCCATATTCTCATATTTCATTCCGGCAGTTTGCCTTTTTTCTTTAATTCAAAACCAAGTTTTCAAGTTTCCCTATTGATTTTTCCAATGCAAATAACCCTAGGGATTTTCACTTTAGGGATTTATTTTTCATAAGAAAGAATCATCTATGGCTGCAAACCCCAGCTTTCACTTGAGACTGATGTAATTAACAATCTAAGATATTATCTGTTAGAAAAAAATAAAATTGTCCAGGAACAAGCAGGTACCAGACTCAGCCTCCAGTGTGAAGGTTTACAGCAAGAATAATTTACTGTCTTACACGGGGCCCGTATTAAAGGCCAGAACAGATTCATAGCAAAGATCTCTTTCTGGCTTCCCTATGTCAAATGCAACTCTAAATTAAACCGATATTCTTATGCAAACATGCCTTGGAAGTGCCTATTTTATTAGATTTCTGCTTTATTGGAATCATTATTTTAACAAAAGAAGTTCAAAGCCATCATTTAAAACTATTTTAGTTGTCTGGCAAGATGCCAGCTGCTTTGTCAGACTCTCAGGTAATAAAGTTTTACCTATTTCTCTAAGTTATCCATTTCCTTGCCCTTTTGGCCACATTTGGCTTTATTAACATTGAATCTAGGTCTTATTTTAACTTTATCCTGCACTACAGTATTAAGAGAAACTGCAGAAGGATTTCAGAGACGCAAAGTTACACTTACATTATTAAGAAACTAAGACTGTGATTGCTTTGATGCATGCTGGCTATTTTCGAGAGCTCTATTTGGGTATGACAAGAGTAATGTGCATTACAGTAGCATATATGCTACTGCAATACAGTCAGGAAATACTGCAAAAACTGAATGAAAGTATTTCTCCATGAAGAAATTCAGAACACAAAGAATGAGTGACACAAGCAAAAAAATTTAACAATCTCATCGATCAAGAAGCACCAATCCATGTTCAACCACAAAGTCCATTGCATGAATTGAACTGTTACTCTGTCAGAGGAATAACACTTAAAAAATATACAGAACTGTAATGCTGGTGCATTTCATTTTAGTGTTATTAACAGATTCAAGAATCATTTTACAGTCTGATTTCTGTATCATTTCAAAGCCTCTTATGCCACTTTCTTTCTCCAAAAGCACTGAATACATTCACATATTAACACAGTGCCAACAGAAAAAAGTGAGACCAATCATAGAAACGCACCACTTCCACACAGGATAGGCACAAAGAAGTCCATAAATGAACTCTCACTTGTCACTGCTGCCATCTAAGACTTCAGAAAGGGTTCATGAAATAACCTGCCATTGCTACTAGTAATTAAACAAGAAAAAGGAGATAAATTAGCAGGAACCAGCTGCAGAGACATCTGTTCCATTTGGACAGTAAACAAGCTCTTCCCTAAAACATATGTAAATACAGCACAGCCTAACCATTGTGTCATACAAGTATAATCAAATCATTAACCTGCTTAAAAAATACAAGAAGCAGTGGCACAAAGTTTATATGAATGTATTTGGAGCTATTTTCTCCATAGAAACAGCAGTGTACAAAAGTGTGATATTATACCCAGGAAAGGTACCAAAGTATTTTTTAGAATTCTTGCAAACGGGAAGTAAACTGCTTCCAGTCTCTCCATCCTCCACTGCCTGTAAACCTTGTTTTCTCCTCGCCCTCACCCTTGCCGTGTCAGTTGTTCTGTTGACAACTACCTGATGCTTTCTAGGCTGCATAATTGGCTGTCTTTGTATCTGAAGCTACAGAACTAGTGGAAAAAGTCAACATTTGCACAGAGAAACTAGGGAGTCCAAACCTGTATTTTTACACAAATACCTTGAAAGTGCAAAGTCTGAGATACTCTGTTAAGAGTTTTCAAATCCGTATTTTCACACAAACACCTTGAAAGTGCGAAGCCTGAGATACTCTGTTAAGAGTTTTCAAATCGGAAATACTCACCACGTTTCCCCACTCACCTTAGACAAACAGGTACTAATAAGATAGGCAGTTACACCAGAGGACGCAGAAAAGGAAATGCCTACGAACAGCTGAGCAGTTAGCATAGCTTAAAACCCTTAATAAGCAGAGTAGCATCTTTAATTTGGAGCAATATCATCTGTTACTTGATATACATGTACATATAAATTACAAGCCAAAGGATGTAAGACCATTACCCTGAAGTTGTTGTAATCTAAATATATGCAAATATGCACGTATATGTGCAAAAAAAGTGACATATAGAGCAGAAGTTAATCAACTAAGATTTCAATTCATTACTTTATTTGTTTTACATTAAAAAAATTACAACGTAACAAGGGTTTGAAAAGCCAAGTAAACCTGATTTCACACACGCACACACTTGCTAAGTCACAGGGTTCAACCGCTTGAAGTGGTATTTTCTGATTTTCATCGGGATATTTTATTAAACAATATACACATTAAGAGCCTCATGACAAAGCCAGACACATTTTTTCCCAGTCTTTAAGATGTGCAACTGAATATGCAAAAATTCTTGTGGAACTTCCAACTTTCCCCTCAGTTACATGAGACATAGTTTTGTCCATTTGACTGCAATTTCAATGGATGTGTCCACCTAGAAACTGTCCAGTGTTACATATCATCTCCCCAGGCAAAGTGGACGTATTACATAGTATTGCACAGTTTTGTTCGCAGGGCCATAGACAATAAATGGATCCCTTAGTAATTTCACCCACCGAATGGTATAAAACCTAATGAAGCTGGAATCAAGATGCCACAAACAGTTACAAAAAAACAGAGAGGCAGGTCACTGAAAAAAGAAAGTATAGCTTCTGTAGTACGTAAACTTTATAATGCAAAATTCTTCAGCACATTTAACTGCTTGAGGTGGGACAGATCATCAGTGCTACTGGCAAAGCAAAAGCAAGAACAGGACAATTTTAAGGCAAGTCCCAGAACAGGGAGCTATTTACTTTCTAGGCACGATATCAAGCTATGCATCAAGGCTCCTGCTTTATCCTTTATATTGTTGGTAATTTATAGAACAGATTAATAATACAAAAAATAGTCTAAATACAATTTTTAAAGAATCCACTCTCAGCTGAATTTCATTACTTGCAGCTTGTATTTCATTACTTGCAGATTTATAAACATTTCTTAGCACTACTGTTGTTTGTCAGGCCCACATAAAGCAGTTCTAGATCTATATTGCCCTCATTTCTTGAAAGTAGTTTTGGTTGGAAAATGGTTACATTCAAAATAATCCCTTCTACTGCAGATCTTTCTACATTTAAGATCTCTTGTACTTGAGAAAAAGGCAACCTCCCTCGTTCCTCTGATGTCTTTGTTCAAGGGATCATTAAGTTAACAGCTTTCCTTCTATGAAAAGTCTGTACAATAAAAAAGGGGCAGAGCAAGACCTTACAAAGACAACTGTTTTCAGTCAATTAACTCCGATCTGCAGTACATCCACTTTAATCTCACAGAGGAGGATACAGTCACTGGTCCCACTTACGCAGAGGACTAGATACAATCCTCAAACACCTACGCTTAAGTTCCTCTAGAATCAATGCATTAAGAATTGGAGATGCATATCTGAGGGCAGAAATTGGCCCACAGCCGTTAGTTAAAAGTGTTGTTTACCGAAGATTTAGAACTTACCCAAATGCCATATGAGATTAATACTGCCAAACAGAAGACATGCTTTTGTGAGCCTGGGAAGACATTTGGCAGGGGTGTAACAGTGCCTCTGATGTGTTATGCTGTTGTGTGCACCAGTCCTTTGAATCACTTGCATATGAGGAATGTGTGCCTGAAGTGGGACACAAGAGTACAGCTCTGTTTATTAGGACAAGCAGAAATATAAATTAAAACTGAACAAACCACTATTCCCTGAAATCTGAATTTAGAAGGCTAGATCTCATTTGAGATCAACTTTCACCATAATGCTCCTCCTTATGATTGACAACTGCACCTAAGTATATACTTTTTATAAAAACACACAGGTAATTCCCCAAACATTTATCAAATAAAAAGGGTTTAACAAAAATGGATAATTAATTTCAGAAAATAAATTACAGTAGCATGACAACATTTGGCTTCTTTAGTGTGACCACGTGCTTTTCCTTTGTTATCTTGCTGTTAAGACCATTACAGATCCAGTTCGCGTCTCTGAAAGTTAATGAGATGTCTGTGACGATAAACGTATAAAACTCTGCTTGCTACAAGCAAATGTCTGATATCAGTTTCACCTGGTCACAGATTATATGTAGACAGCCTTCTCTGGCCCCAAATAAATATTATATAGTATTCTTGCAAGTTCCAGCATAATTAGATTCAAACAGAAAACTCAGGTCCTCCTTTCTTTGCTCTTAGTAGAAGTCGCCTGATTCGAAATCCTGCAAAAGGATTGATCCACAGGAGTGAAGGCTGACCCCCAAAAACAGATTTCATTCCTTCCCAACGTAGTCTTCGCTCCCATGTTGGCTTTTCACTCTTCAGTCTTTCAATCTCCTGTATATAAACAGACATGCAGTGATGCACTGTTAAGTCCAAAGTTTAGTAAAGTCTAATAGCAATTATCAGAACATATGACTACTTTGCATTCTTTTGATTTATAGCTAGCGAGCTGATTAGTTTCTTACTGTTATTTATTTAGTAAGGAAGAAATAAGAATGGCTGATTTAGCCCTGTGGGTACAGGGCACAAGACGTAGAACATAAAGTGTGTACAAGAAGGTTGGTCTACCTCTACCTCTTCCTCCCTCAAACTAAAAGACAAAATGACCAGAAAAGCTGATGTTAAAGTAGAGGATCTGCAGGCAATATACCTACACTAGAAATTGTTTACTCAGTTAATGAAACCAGACAACAAGGCTTCCAAGAAGGCTCTGGTACTGCAATTACTGAAGCTAGGCTTACTCTCCCAAATGCATTATTCTGATGATAATTTTTGTACTTCACACTAATGAAGGCTGGATATTTACCAATTGTTTTTCACAGTTACTCTTTAGTACAGAAGTACACTTTTAAACAGCCTCACATGAGAAAATTCTGAACAGCCACAAGATTCAAATTCCTTATGTTTCCAGTCAATTATCCGTCTCAAAACATCCTCTCAAGGTTTACCACTGAAGACCTAAGGGCAAGGGAGCCAAACGTCCAAACCATGGTTATACTCTAATAAAGTGTATCAAAGTAAAGGAGAGTGTGAAGGGTTGATAAAAGATAGCTAGTGTAAGTGTAAACCTGAGAAAAGCAGACATTTCTCATGACAGCTATCAGGAGTTTGTGATAGTTGAGAAGTGCAAGTACAAACTGAAGTCAGAAGCTGAGCAGTCTTTGTAACTGAAAACCTAATTATAAAATTTATGTCAGAAAAGCAAATAATGCAAGAACTTCTGTTAGAAAGCAAACCCCAAGAGAGTATTTCAATTCTTACAACTGTAGAAAATAAAAATGATGAGCTATTTCAGATTTGGGGTCTTCTCCAAAATAAGAGCCTCCCCTCATGCAAATAAAACAACATCTAATCACATCTTCCTAGAATAATCGTTATAGCATACAGAAGTAGAGGTCTTTACCGTTTCATCATTGCATATTGAGTGGATTTGGGTGCCAAACATGACTGCAGTGAAAGTGAGAAACAGAAAACCCTCAAGGCACAAGAAGATCATCAGGATCACAGTTACAGGTGGGGAAAAGTCACTGCATTCTGTGAAAACAACATATGTAGTTATTTTAAAAAAAAAAAAAAAAATCAGAAAATCTATAGAGCATGTTCATACTGAGACATCCCCTCTTCAACAAACAGCAATAAAAGCTAAATATCTTACATTTGAAACAACATTTCACAATTATGACAAACTTCTAATTTCTAGCACTGCAGCAGCTTTATTTGCTGCCCAAGGAAATTAAGAATTTTAACAAAGTAAAACTTTTGGCTTCCTATAAAGCACATGGTACTGCATTACTGCAATCCTGCCTCAGTATTTCAAGAATATCAAATAAATGTTTGCACATGAGATTATTTCAGTACTTGGAACTGCACATATATAAAGATGAGAGCAGCCTGAAGTTTCATACCTGACAAAGGCTGTAAAAAACATCACCACTGTCAGCTCTGACTTGCTAGTTAATCCAGATGTTCCATTTTGCTGCGATTGCTATATTTTTTTTTTTAATTCACCACACAAAGCAACCAGGTTCTGACTTACACTTAGTCACATCTCTGGAGATCCTCTGATCAACTGATTAACTCAATTATAGTTAAACAAAGAAGAAATGGGATAGTATACAGGAAGCAGAATGTTTCAAGTAAAAAAAGGACTAAGATTCCATCCATTTAATAGAATATTCAGCAAAAAACAGTCACGTGGATTCCCCTGTTGCTTCAGGTACCAGGAAGAACCTGAATCATCAACCATCTTCTGTCAAAAGCACAAGATCAGAATGAGCTCTGGCATACTGGAACATTAAGACATGCAAGTCAGAGCCCTAAACAAACAACTGGGACAGTTTAGGAATTTCTTTTCTACAGGAGCCCCACAGTTGGCTCCAGTAACAGAATGAAGGAGAAATTTTCAGCTGTCGTTCACAGAACTGTGGTGTGACACACAAAGCCCAGCTGGCAGCTTCAGGTAATATAGTGCTGAGGTGGTTTGAGGACCAGCTATCTGTTCCCTTCCTATTACAGAGGCGGTAATTTTTTTACTCTGTGGAAAGGAAATTAGAATGCCCTTGACAGCCACAGCTGTGGGGAAAGGACTAAAGAGGGGAGAAGAGAGAGAGAGATGGGTAAACAGGTATAAAACATTTTCAGGATCTCACTTTAAAAAGATCGAAGTCCTGTAAGATTTCATACATGGGACTGAAATAGGTGGAATGCTATGACTTTCCCTTAATATCTGCTAGATTACGACAGTGAAAGTTAAGTATTTGCTTACCAGTCCACTGCCCTCGGACACAGGAGAAAAACTGAAACCCACACAGTATGAGCGCATGAGCTGAAATTAGGGCTATATACATCTGGAAATAAGAGAAAGTGCTTACTTTTTACTGCTGCCAGGTAGTAAACCAGACATTCCTTTCAGCCAGCCTTCACCACTGCACAGTGAATATACTTTCCTATTTCAATTTTTAATTCAATACAATGATGTAAAAACAAATTCTCATTAAGCTTGAATCTAAAAATGTGGGTAACAATGAAAGTTTAAGGATTAGCTCCCTAAATCACAGTACCATTTCACTAATTGTTACTATATAAAACACAGCAAAATTAAGATAGTTTAAAATAACAGCACTTTACAAAACACATTAAAAATGAGTATGAGTAGAAATATCTTCCTGCTTGGAGAATATCTTGCATAGATGGAAAAAAAACCCCCAACAACACAACACATTTGTGCCTTTAAGCCATTAGTCACTAATAAGCACAACCAAAATTGTTATAATCAAGGTAGATTCATACTGAGATCAAGCTGTTGTTGATTTTCACTTACCGTAAACAGAACAAAAAATCTCTGATTTTTCTCCCCCACACAATTATTCACCCACGGGCAGTGGTGATCCATCTTTCGAATACATCGTTTGCAAATACTAAAGGAAAGGAAGAGAGACTTCTGTTGAGAAACAATACTTCGCATTTTAATGTAGAAACAAGGGTATCCAGTGGTCATAAGATGATGTGCTGAAATCTTTCCTGACAAACTGCAGCAGTGACTTTATTTGCATTTCTTTAAAGAAACTACTCACTTACAACTCAGCTTTTGGTTGTCACAAAACTGTGTAAATAAGATCTTCTTCACATTAAAAAAATGGTATAATATGAGAATCACACACACAATCAAGTGAATACAGTAACTTGTTTTGGACACTTGTGGCACTGAATGAGTAAACTTCCGTTCTTTCTAGATTCAGTATTTAAAAAAACCTTCCCTTCTGGAGAAGCTTTTTTAGACAAAGTAATTCTTTCAAGTTTACAGACTTTCAAGTTGTAAATTTAGTTCGAGAATCAGACAAAAAAAAAAGAAAATCACATCTTCAAGACAGAAATTGTCACTCTTGAGGTTTCAACTGGCCATACAAGTCTAAACATACGCAATCAAAATCTCAACTAAAGAACAGCTTACAATGTCACACCTCACTTCTTCAACATAAAACAAAAATATTAAAACTATAAGCAGCACACATTCTTTGCCTACTCGTTAACGAATACTTAAACACTACTGTTCTTTGCTAGTTCTGCAACTTGTTGCTTAGTTTCTGCCCAGTTTTGAGTCAAGGTTATTTCCAGAAAGAAAAGTCAAATATTTCACTAAGTCCATTTTACATGTGCTAGGCCATACAGCACCAGAGGGCTCATTTCTCTTACATTCAGGTCCATCTGCAGCCAAACATGAACAGTTATACAAGAGAAACAGAACAGTTGCAACATGTGTTGAAGTTCTTCTGTAAATCAACAGCTTAAGTAATGCTGATATTTCATTTTCCTAGCTTTGTGCTTAAGACACTCAAAATGTTCCAGATTTGCCCGTGGAACATCCAAAATATTAAGCATTTTCATTTCAGCAGTTACAAAGCCAAATAAGCGTAAAAAATGCAGGCACTATTATTCAAAACCCTTTGTTTTTAACGCATGATTATTTATGTATGATATCTATGAGCGCTGCAGTGACAAGCCACAAAGTAAAGCTAGACGATCGTCACTAGAGTGAAGAAAGGGGTAGCGGGAGCAGGGGGAGTCAAAAAATAATTTTTAAGTCATCGCATATGCATGATTAGAAGGTAATTCAGCAAGAGGCAGAACATACTCCTGTGCAGGTTGTATGAGAGAATCCCAAATCTCTCACTGCTCCTCTGAAGCTCCCTTTGCCCTGAGCTATTGTAACCCAGTGTCATGAATGAGTGATTTAGAGGCCGTTTAAGGCCCCTACGTTCCCACTGCCTCTTGTTTTATGGACATCAAGGACGATTCATCCTGTGACGCAAATTACTTTTTAAATACTGCCAGTTACACACAAAAATCCCAATACCACAACTAAACACCGCAACCATTCTCTAGTGCAGAAGAAAGAGGTATCATTCAAGAGAAGGCATTCAGAAGACTCTCTCTAAGAGATTTTCATTTCACAGCCTGCTGCCTGTAAGTTCAGCCTCTCATTAATTTCCCGAGCTCTGTGGGAAGGTGAGCTAACTCCAGTCGCCACAACCATGCAAGCCTCCTAATGTAACACAGAATATATACTGTCACTCTAAAAAGAATATTAATGTGAAGTACTGAGTAAAATCATATCCAGGCTCAATCAAGCCAAACACTGGAGGATGTGAGGTGGGCAGGACACACTTTTCTCATTCAGTATTTCTCACAAGCCCACGCAGAGCTCTCCAAGACATCAGATGTCTGGAACCCTGCCTTCATTTCTAATCTCACACCAAGATTCAAGCAACACTTCCAGCCAAAAAACTTGCAGCAATGCTGAAAACAGCAGTCCTGCCTTCTTCCTACCCCCATCACTTGTATTGTATTCCTCCCCTTGTCCAAGCACAGATGTTAATGCAGCAAGAGTTGGGCAAGTCACTCCATTAGCTGCAACCTGGGTCATTTCACTGTGCATGAACACTCACGCCTACACAAGAGGAAGGAGCAATATGGTAGTGAGAACAAGGAGCTGTGGACAAAGGAAGGTCTTCTCCAGCTTGGCACTGCTGCTGAATGCACTCAGGCAATTGCAGGTGCAATTACGGTTTTGAATGCCAAAAATAACATTCAGAAAGACACAGCTAATGGCTTAAGAGAAATTGGTCTGGATAACAGAAATCCACAGGAAGACTGATGCAAACATCTCAGTGATTTGATTCGGAATAACAGTTCCCCACACACAAACGCAGGCACTCAGAATAGGCTAGAAATGATGACAGTTGTGCTCCTTCAGTGAAAATGAAATAGCATTCAGTCAGGATAAGCCTCTTCCTTATGCTGAAAATGTTAACTGCTTAGTAAAAATCTGAGTTTAATGTAGGCTAGATACTTAGCTGTAAATAAAGGTTTCTTGTTCTTTTTCCCATCACTAATGTGTATTATGAAACTATTTTTCTTCCTCAAAAGAACTTCTGCTGCAGTGTTGCACAACAATTTTCATAACTACATCATAAGAGCCTCTTCTGTTAATAATTTACTACTCAAAACATGCACTGTGGCTTCGAGCGTAACTATTTCCCAACAGGAACCAACTTCAATTTCCATTTTCAAGTCTCTTCTATCAGCAAATTGCCACTTTGACTACTTGGGACTAGACCATCCTTTTAATGTCTTTGGAATGGGTTTCTAAGCCAAGAAAATGTTGGCACTATAATCAAACAAACCTTTTTTCTATTCGGTACACTTCTGCAGTGCTAAGTCTATGGCAAAGAATCAGATTCTGGTAGCTGGTCTATGCAGTATGTATTCAACATTCAAAAAATTGCAGAAAAATCCTTTGCTTTACTTAAGAAAAGTTAACAGCAACTACTAGTAGCATGTATTGTATGAGTAACAGAAATGAAGGCAATTAAACCAGATATCCAACTGCTGAGAAAAACATGACAGCAGGCTTACAAAAGGACAGCACATACACTTTCAGGCTCTGGCTTTCTCTTTCAGATGTTCTGTGAAGCCAGTTATACACGGTGCAAGCATTAAAATGCATCCTTTGCCCTTATGTGGAACATCTCACAGTGTATTTTACCAAGGCATAGAAAAGTAAAACAATTCACAAGACATGCAAAGGTCCCTGAACCAGTGGTTAGTAAAAACAAACTCTCTGAAAGCATCGCAGATTTCCTTCATTGTAGACACTATCCATTCTTGCTCTGTTTTAACAATAAATGCCACGCAAATTCCTGCTATAAACAATGTATTCAGAGTCCCTACTTAGTTTATTTTTATTCTTCTTCCATGAAGAAACAATAATTTTTCAATCAACACCACCTTATCTGGGATGACAGGCTACTGCAACATCCAAGATAGTACAGTGCCTGCTGAGGATGATGGCGCAGATGTACCCAAGGGCCTCTGCAGGGCACAGAGCTGCAGTGGCTCCAGGCTCTCCAGCTTCTTTCTTCATATGTAGAGTTCAATATAAGATGCCTTTATTTAGGGCTACTTCCAAATTAGTAAATCCTATCAGGACCGAAGATGTGGGAAACACTTTACAAAGATACCTGCAAAGTCTCTGTAGGAGCCAGCCTAAATCTGAGATGAGAAAATTAGCAAGATCCAACCTACACTCAGCAGAGGCTCTCAGGTGTCCCTTTAGCACATCCCGTGAACACAATGCCAGGATATCTGAACAGACTGCACAAAGCTGTTTTGGATCCCCAGAGATTAACAGCTTATATTCTGCCACAAGAAAGCAGCTGCGCTGCTTCCACCCCCAGGCCCACCAAGCAATCGGTACAGCTGTGTCCATGTAACACTCCACCAGAGCTAATAAAGCCAGCCAGAACCAAACTCACTGCACATGAAGGCACGCCTGATATCTGCATCCGTGCAAAAGCTAACCTACAACACAAATAAACTAACTGAAGATAATTCCATACTTGACTATTTATACATGAAACTTTTCCCTTCACACTCCAGATACAAAAACCCACTCACATCTGAGAGAAGACCAAGATTTCAGTGCCAAGGCAGAGTATTTATAATGGAAATAGCTTCTCAGCCATAACTTTCACACAGGTAAGTGACATACACTGAGACATTTAATTTAGAAACCAGAAATGTACAGAATAATTTGAGAGTCCTGACAAGACTTCACTCTGTCCTTTTGACGGGCACTAACTCTGAGACTTAAATTTAATATGCCGCACAATTCAATACACACAACTCCTCACACCTAGAGAGCGCCACCAGGAACATTTACATATTTATGTAAGTCTTAATTATGCAGGCATATCTATTTTCAACTCTCACATAATAAACATTACAAATGCATATCCACAGTGCTTGAAAACTCAAAAGATTGAGAATTGAAAATGGATACATTTACTATCTCTTTCATAGCATGTTAAGTTCAAATTATCATCATTTCTGTCCTTACTAAAATGAATCCCCAATAAGCAGAAGTGCATTTAACCAATTATGCATACAACTTTGGGAAAATAATCTGCCAATTCACATATAACTTCAAATGACGCACTATGAAGACACAAATTAAAGTGATAGTTTAAAACTAAACTGTATTTTCTTAATTTAAGATTGCAGGAGTCATTTCTTAAATCAGCTTCTATCAGAAATTTCCTTGAGATTCTTCCCTTTGCCCTGCATTATCAACAGTACGGCACAATAATTAGAATGACACACAGGAAAAAATATTCACAGATCAAAAAGTATTTAAGACCGCACAGCATAAATATTTTTAAAGACTCTTGAGCCTCTTGCTTCTTTCCCCTCATCCACATTCATTTTTGGCCATAGTATATTATATTTATAAAATACTCTGCAACGTATGCATTTGAAAGTTTACTGGGTATCAAAAGAAATTTGCGGGGAAAAAAATCAACACATAAATATCAGGAACATTATTCCAAGACTCAATATGCATAACTGCTTTAAAGAAAACATGGCCTACCTGCAATGGTGTGCACGTTCAGGTTTGATACTACAGCACTTTGGACATTTGTAGATCACTTCTCCTGGTTTCAGTTGCAAATTATCCATGTATTCTTTAGTGGCATTTCCTTTGGGTACAGCCCCCTGAAATCATTTTAATTAAAGGAGAGAAAGCTTCTTAAATGGTATGAGAGCATTTAAAAATACCTTTTATAGACTTCATATAGCAGTAATCTCAGGATTTACTCAAAGCTAGTCTGCCATAAGTCCGAATCATTTCCAAATGAATAAATTACCTCTGCTTGACCTCAAGTTCAGTTTCATTTCAGCAAGACTCATCTATGGCCAAGTATTACCATAATTCTGACAGAATCTGCTGTCACCAGCACACATAAAATGACGAGGAAGACACATCTTTACATGCAGTTACAAGCACTACAGGTACAATATTTGCTGAGAAGTTACTCTGAATGAGCACTACTAAGAGACGTGCTTTCTTACAGCAGCGTGTTAATTGTTGTGATGTTCGATTATTAGGCCAAGCCATCCACTAAAATTAAATCAGCAACAACTACTTGACGGATGTTATTTCAACCCTCTGAAGCCAAGATTTAGCCACCTGCCTCATGTACACAAGTTTTTGAGAACCAACGGTCATTCTTTTTTCCTTTATACTTAAGTTTTTAGCTTGGACACTGTCACCATGAACCACCACTGGCTTCTTTATTCTACATCTAGTATCCTCTGCTGCCTTCTGCTACTGTGAAAGTTTGTGTAGCTACATGGTAAACAGTTGAAGGAACTGATCTAGGAGAAAAATAACCCATTAGGAAAAGGAATTATTTTTCAGTGATTAGTTCTCTGATCTGTTCCAACACAATGGGGAAGATGATGAATGGACAGGAATAGTAGGCAGGATTGCTTCTTCCAGTAACAATATTAATCTAAAGCCTCACGAGATCGGAATCTAACTTCGGATTAGTAAGAAGAAAATAATGGAAAGTACCACTGCCACCTTGCTTATTTATAGAGCTAAAGGCTTATCTGTGACAGGAAGGGATTGTGAAAAAAAACGGGATGTGAAATGAAAGTGCAATGGCCTTCCTGCACCAACTCCTCCAGGCCAGCACTTACTTCACACAGGGATAGTCTTCTCCAGGTTGGCTTCAATCATCTGCAACATTCTATTATTATTTCTCATTCAAAAAAAGCCCACTGGCAACATCATCACTTTACACAGACACCTTAAGGAAGTTTTGGGGACAGAATTAACAAAGCAGCAGGCACTTCAGATTCAATTGGAAAACACCTCTCTACTTAGGCAGCAAGTTTTTGTTGCCTATTGCCTGGAATAACAATCTTGTGTTCGTATTGCCCGAGAGTACAGCCCAGGTTCTGCCCCAGATGAACTCTTTGGCTAAGTGGTGCTTCAAACTTGAGCCAGCTAGCCTTTGCAGGCATACGAACTGAAAGAGAGTTTCTTAAACACTCATGTTGTATTGCTGAAGTGTATTTTGCAATATGAACGTTCTCATTGAAGTTAATACTTCGGTGTAAACGCGGGGAATTATCTCAGAGAGAACTCCTAAAGCACAAATTTGCCTTGTTCCAGGTAAATTTATGCTTATAAAACACATCTCACATTCACCTATTCACCTGTCACTAAGGACAATAACTTCAGGCCATGCTTTTAGCATTTTGCTGATAAAAATATGCTCTATTTCAAAAACTTCTTTCATAGTCCCAGACGGTCACCCATTCCTTTCAACGAAAAATCTATTTTTATAGTTATAAGAGTAAATTTAATTCACACATGTTTTGAGACAGTTTATTCCTTTTTTCCTTCAATCTTAGTTTCTTTCACACAGTTGTGTCTTCCATTTTGGGAGTCAGCAAGAAAGGAGTGCAGAAAAAAAGGTAGTGATTCATCTCAATTTCTATCATGTTTTATCCATAAAGAACAACATAGGTCTAGAAAGACACACAGTTTTACCAGGAAATATTTTTAAGCAATCTATCCTTAAACCATTAACTTTCTTAGCTGTCACAGTCTGTAGAAGTCATAACATTTCATCACTGGGTGTGGGCTCAGGAGTAAATCAAAGACCTAGAAAACCATTAACTACAACACCCTGCTGTTTTTTTGAACACTCCCATAACTTCTATATACACTGTTACTGTCTCAAAAATCTGGAGAAAATAGATGTTTTTCCCCTCACTCCTTTTTCCCCAAATTTATTCCCCAAGAAGAGTAAGAGATTTTAATACAAAATAAACAATTTCATCTCTTGAACTCTTTAATTGAAGAATAAAAGTCCTAAAAAATGAGTACTTTCAAGATCTCTTACACCCACACTGTTCCAATGTGGGTTCAACTTAAATCTCCCTTCCCACTGACTCCAAATGCCTAAACACAAAAATGCATGAATCATGTAGGACAGTAGTTCTTACTTTATGTCAATATGTGATGGAGGTTTTTCAGCATGTCTACCTCTAAAAGTTCTTTCATGTACCATAAATGGAAGATACATTTCAAATGATACAACAGGATGAAGCTACAACATCTTATGAAGTTTTGAAAATCTATCTGATGAAAAAAAGTAAGAAAAATTAGGACAGCTTCTTCAGAACCTGGGTTAATATTTAACAAATAAATTGTATTTCTCATGAGCCTACCTCTCCCTTACAAATTGATTTTATACTGCCTGCTCCTCAAGTCAAAAATTATTTATGGATTCATTAACAGAACAGGAAAAGCACAGATATCATCCCTTCAACTTGAGAGTTCTGCATCTAATACTACTTTTCCTAGCAGGACGGGACTGATACCACTTCTCCAAATTTCTCTGCAGACGATGAGCTACAGGAGAGAACAATCCAACGTCAAGGAACGATCGCATACTTACTGGATCAGTTAGCATAGTTCTCAGATGCGATGACAAAGCTAGTACTGCCAAGCAGTTAAAGAGAACACCGTTGATCACAGAGTACCAAAAGTCTTTGGAAGGCAGCAACATGACAAAAGTCACTACGAAGTCTGCATAGACAACCAGAAGCCATGTCATTATAGCACAGACCATACCACAGCCATCTCGGATGAACCAAACCCTCTCTGCCATGTCGGCCTCTGAGGAAGAGGAATCGTAGCTGTCATTTTCAGCAAGAAGCGGGTGGTGCTCAACATCACGGAATCTGTGCCCTGATGACTGCATGGTTTTCTGGCCCTGCCCTGCAGGAAGCAAAGATATCATTATTATGTGTGAGGAAACCGGAAATACAGGTGGCTCTCATTTTTTATTTCTATAAGATAAAACATATCCAAGTTCAAAATAGATTACTGAGATTTTTTTTGATCAAAACCTGAACAATTCTATGACTACATAAAGATGAAATATTCCTGTAATCAAAAGATACTAATTTACAAAGTTTCATCAACAATTTTGTAAGCCATTTACTGAGTTTTATAGTCCCATAACTTTTTTTTTTTATCATGCAACTTCAATGCTTGACAAAGGGATTTTAGACTGGTTTCATTTCCATCTTGCTTGTGCCCATAAAAGAATGTGACCATTCTTCCCCTTTTGTTAAAAATGCAACCTTTTCCTTTTATCTCAAACTAAAATGGCAAAGTCTTCATTAAATTACAGCTCATGTCTCTCAGAAAACAGCAAATTATGGCACCAGACTGCTGACTTTTCATACTGCTCCAGCAACCCAGAGAAGAGCAGAAGGAAAAAACAGAATGGAAATAAAGCTGTTTTAGTACATTGTTCACAACAAAAAACAGAGCAAGTTAGAAAGCAGCTAAATTTGTTGACAAAAGTGCTATTGCGTTGAAAAAAACCCAAACCTGTTACAAAGATATATTGGATAACTTACAAAATGGTCTCGGATCAGACCAAACTTAAGGGAAACAAATGGCAGTGGTTAAATTAGCATGGCAACGGATTAAATGAACCAGATTTTCAAAGAACACACTAATTAATTTATTTAATGAAAACTCTTTTAGGGCTTTGTTGTTGTTCCAACATGGAACAAAAACAAGACTTGAAACCTTAATAGTTTTCATAAAAACAGAATTTCCAGATCTCCCTAACAAGCAAAGATATGGAATGGCAGAACTGAAGTGCTATCAACAAACAGGAGACAAATTAAAGCTTAAACATTATGTATCAAGAATAGCCTGCTATTTTAAAAGCATACTGGGTTCTAAAAATCATATTGATTCATGCTATTAAAGGTCATGTCTGAGAGAAACGTGAAAGCATTATATTGACTGATGACAGTCACACAGAAGTCTCCGGTTTTCCCCCTTATTAATAGTAGCCTATATATATGACTGCTAGGAATTATGGCACTTCCATTTACATCCCAAGACCTTGAATATAGGATCACTTTGTTAGTCTAAAATGGTCAAAGTGATCAGGTACAGAGACTCACACAGATAGTTTTCAGATGAAGCTATGTATTTCTAAACCCTTTAAAAAACTCTCAGTCCTATCTACCAGGAATCAGATAAACATATTCTGCCCAGTAAATCTTTCTGATTCCTAAGCCTTAATGCTAGAACTAGGCAGGAATAATCCAAGAGACTAGAAATGAAAACAAGTATATGCAGATTGCAGTGTAGAGATCCCAGAGCAACGATTAAAATAGCTAGCTGAGATACTCATAGGACACAGTTAAGTGTGGGCTACATTCTCTTGTTGTGAAACAGAACAAACTGAAATACAGCTCTGGTGCTTGGATTTAGTCGCTAACGATGCAATATTACTATTTCTAGTCATTACACTGTGTTTTCTATTCACACGTTGGGGTTTTTTTGATTGGTTTTTTTACACAGAAGTTCCCTCTCTTACCAGAATGCGGCTACTAAGCCATGGATGAAAGTAGTCACATACTAGAAAAATACCTTAGAAAAGAATAAACTTCACTTTCCTTAAAGGCAATTCAAGCTTAACTTAACCTATATAAGGCGCTCTTTTCAGCCAGTTTAAGTTATTCTAATCTCTCTAAATGTTTACAGTTAAAATTACAATCTATGCCAATTAATTTCAATAGCACTTTGGGACATCAACCACGCCTTTGTGGTCAAGACTTGTAAAAGAAAAGTCAAGTTTCATGAAGCCTACATAATTAGCAACTGGAACATGAAGATAGCTAAGCAAATCAACTATTATTTCGTTAAAAATGGGCATATAAAACTTTTAAGAAATGTTACTGTCTAATTTTTTCTCTCTCAAAAAAAAACAGGACCCACAAAAAGTAAGTACAATAAACTATTTCAACTAAGCCTTGAAGTGTATGACGAGCTGACAGCCAAAGTTATCACACACACAAAATACCCAACAAATGCTCTAAAAAGCCAAACTTCTTCCAAAGACAGAAGTGGCAGAAAGTGTCAAATACAGTGCATTCACATGTTAGTATTTTGTCAAAACATTTTTTCACTGGCAAATTCTGTTTTTGTTAACTCAAATTTAGGATAAATTCAACCAATTTTACAATGGCAAAAGTACTAGCTTTTTCCATTTCCCCCCCAATTTTATCTTTTTGTTTAAAAAAGTCAATACATAAGTAATTTGGAACATTTTTTTCAAACAAAACGTCTTCTTTTTTTTTCTTTCATCAAAGGACTGTTTAGAAACCCCAATCCTTCAGGACCTCCTGCTGCATAGATGTTTTGAAGTGTTTGAGAGAAATCAATGAACCAAAACCAACCTCCCAATTCTGAAACTTCCTATAGAACACAAATTTGGAATTCCTTCCAGCTCAGGTGCAATACCTCAGAAGAAGAAATATACAATTATTTTTCAATCAAGGCAAGTTTTCAGCTGCTCAAATCAACAAGTTACCTTAAATCAGAACAGACATCAAGATTCTGAAAAAAAAAAAAATCCGTATTTGTGTATGTCACGACAAATGTGAATTTTAGATCAATTCTGCAAGCAACTCCTTTAGCATTCAAATGAAACGGCATAAATGTTTAACTGTATTAAAGACAACCAAGAATTTTTTTAGCACAACAGAAAAAAACCCACATACCTCACAAATGTTTTGTACGTTATTCTGACATCATGTCTTTCCTTTGGGCTATCCTAGGCTATTCACATAATCATATCTGATGTAATCTGAAAAGACATCATCAACAAACTGATTAGTAAAGCACTCTTGTTTCATCAGGAAAATAGTGTTAAGCACAAATAACATACACATACATGTGTGTATATATATACACACATATATACCACTTTGAAATACGCTGCATGTACTTACAGCAAACAAGCTTCTGATCAAGAGGAAAAAACTTTTAGATTAAGCTATCAAACTAAAAAACTAAAAAGCTAAACAGTGTTTCAAGTAACATTATATCTGTCTTGTTTGTTGTTTTTTAAGATGAGTTGGATATCCAGATTTTAGCATTACAAACTAATGTATCCAAAGACCTACTTCTTTTTCCTGTTTGCCACTCCTGTATGACTAAGAGAGAGAGTATGCAAAAAATAATAATCTTACTTGATTGTCTTCAGAGCTTACAGCAAGGTTTTTGGTAGCAGGTTATTAATAACAAGCATGCACACCTACCACTGTTTTTATAATTGTAAAGTAAGATAGGAAAAAAATTGTTTTAACTCTAATTATTAGACCAAGCTATGGCCAATTTAAAATAAAGAAGCTACCCACTGCAGAATCTGTATATAAAAGAAAGTGACCCACAACTATCTAAAGGGAATATGCACTTAGAAAGTTCTCTTTGCTAGAATTCCACCATATAGGCAAACAATTACCATACGACTTACGATATACAAATCAGTATAAGGACTGAAATGCTAGCATAAGCCATTCTAACCATGCTTAGTTTTAAAATACAAATGTTCCACAATCTTGAATCACATTCCTTCCTTTTCACAAGGGCGTAATACTCAAATCCAACGCAGACTGTGCAAAGTAAGAGAGCACCAGTAGTTTTAAAAGCGTAGAAGATTTCCTTTTTCATAATGAGGAAGAGGAACTTACTTTATTTAGAAAACCAGGTACTTCAAAGCTTGAAAATTTTAGCAATTAACTTGTGGAAATCACCACATGGCATTTGGAGCAGCACAAAACCTCGAGTTAGATTTCCATTCGGGGAAGAGAGCCGAAGAGGTGTGGGCCTGAATTTCTGAGTGGAAAAGTTCGCGACCACGTGCGTGCCGCACAGAAAGCGCTGCTGCACTGGTTTCTGGCAAGTTAAGTCGGGACCCCTGTCTACGCAACAACATTGACTGCCATGGCCGTTCTCTCACCCAGTCCTACTGCTGCAAACTATAACATCTGCCTGGCAATTAAATCCCCAATACGTGATCAAGGAAGATTTTCTTGCTTTTATATAGTACAGAATAAAATTATTAGCTTGGAGTAGGAATTTCAAATTTGTGTCTGATTAAAGTTGGCTAAAGAAGTACTAGGTTTATTTCTTCAGTTGTTTTATTTTCTAGTATTTAAAATAAGCTTTGTGACATGGAAGCTTCACTCTTTTATTTGGAAGGTTAATTTAAATTAATATATTTTGAGAGTAATGTATGGATTCTGACATTTAACAGCTATAGAAAATATGAAGCTATTTACTTCTAAAGGAAAGCTTCTGACACTAGTTTGTTACAAAAAAATATTCCAAATACAACAGTACTGATGGAGTTCTTCAGTACACATTTTCAAATTTTCCCAATTCAAGGGGAATTATACCAATGCAGACTTTCCCTGAAAATGAGAAGCCTCTTGTCTTATTCAAACTCATATATTCTCTTGCAAGCCTAAAAGGTAATGCAAATGCTTATTATGCACATATAACTGCATGAAGCTACTGATTGCTTTCTGTTTTGCTTTATAAATAAGCTTTCATACTTTTGTTAAACAAGTTTTCACAATATTGTGAAATCCACAATCATTAAGTTGTCATTGACATGGCATTTTGTGGAAGCTAAGTAGAAACACACAAGAAGACGGCAGGCTGAGTGTATCGCACTAATTTGCAATGTCACCCACCCATTCTCTGAGTCGAAGATGACTAGCAATAGAAGACGACACACTAAGCCTCTGCAGGTGAAATATTAAAGTCAGAGTAATCATTTGAAATTGTTAACAGAGAATTCATTGACAAGACAGGGACATGATTTGTTCAGTCAGTTCCGTAATCCTAAATGCAATCCTGCGCAAAATTTCAATGTTTATTATAGC